TGTATGATATTTCACGGTGTTATCTCGTTAAACAGCTTATCGAGACTGGTTGTTAGGGCCAAGACGCCCAAGTCAACAGGATGAGCGCTGTTGCCAGTTATTTCTTTAAATATAATACAATTCTTATATTACTTAATTCTAGACAATACTAGCATATTATTTCAACTGAAGACACTATTATCGAAAATTATATATATGGATGTTATATCTCACTTTTGAAATATAAGTTTTTAAAAATTATTTATTTTGAAATGGGGAAACAGTACTGAATTCCTCTAAGTTACAGAATGCACAAAGTAACAATGTGTACTGGAATACAATTCTAATAACTAACTATTTCGTCAAGCAGGACGGTATCTATAGGAGCATAATTGTTTACATGTTCTAAAAATAAAATAAGAAGAAGAAACAGTCTTTGTGTCGTCTTGAAGAATTGCGTATATGCAGTGTCGATTCTGCAGCATCAGCGTCGACATTGGATCTTGTTTACTTCATGTCACCTTGGTTATGAATGGAGAAGGTCAATAAACAACATATAACAACTCCCTCCATATTCAAAAAGTTGGTGCGATGGGCAACTTTTTATAGCTGGGAATGAAATGGAAAACTACGGGATGTGTACACATTTCGTTGAAGTCGACTTCTTCCTTTGGAATTTCGTCTCTGATAGTGGGTCTTCGTCTGGGAAAATACTGGCTAGGGTTTTCAGCGGCCTGAAAGGTCTGGGTGGTGGCGACGGAGGGTAGCTCGAGTCTTCGATAACTAGGTTTCTTCTGCGCCTTTTTCTGCACTTACAGAGAATGTACAAAATCATTAGTGCAATAATGAGTGTTATAGTCAAATAGGTAACCAAGAGATATGTTTGGTTACGTAGGGTTGATTTATCAAATCGTTGACGGTTAGGTCGTTTAATTTCAGCGGTTTCAGCTTCGGGAGGCTCGACCTAGAGAAGATTTAACACAAAAAATAGTACCTGGTGTAATCCAAATACAGGCAAATTTACCCAAAGCAACAGAAGTACCTGAATTGAGGCGTTCGGAATGTATAAAAAGACACACAACAGGTTGACACTTTCAGATATAATAGTGCCTAGAAGATGACAGCACGACGAGCTGTCGAAAGCGCTCGCAGATAATCAAAAAGAAATCATAGAGCTTCAAATCCTTTTTGTAACTCACAATAATAGTATGCCTATAACGCATTCATATATAGAATGTTAAGCATACCACTCAGCAATGAAGCCCGAAACAAAGAACGAAAAATCGTATACCAAATTGCGAACGAAAACGGATACACCCAAAAGACAATAGATAAACTAGAAAACAGAATCAAACAAAAAATACAGAACAAGGATCAAGCTACCCTAACAGACAAAACAACACAACGATGGACAGCATTTACCAAACCAAAAAACTAACAAACATCTTCAAACCACTGAACATCAACATCACATACAAGCCGAACACGAAGATAACACAAAAAATAAACAACTATGGAAAAGAAGAAGACAAAGACCAAAACGGGATATACAGTATACAATGCTCGGACTGTAACAAATTCTATATCGGCCAAACCAAAAAACTGATCCAAAGGTACGATGAGCACAAAAAGGCATACATAAATCCAACAGTATATAAATTAAACCTTACAATACACGCCATACAAAACAAACATAATTTCCCCCCATCAGAGAACATAAAACTCATAAAACAAGTCAACAAGGGAAGCCGCATGGACATTTGGGAAAACTTGAACATCCATAAATTTAACAGTCATAAATCACTTATCGAGGAACAAGTACAAATCAAAACACAACAAGACCTCACATTCAATATATT